AAAACAAAGACCAAAGCACTCAGTAATTCTGCTTCAAGACATTTATTTGGAGAACCCCAAAATATTAAATTGAAAAATATATATATATATCCCTATTTTTATTGTAATACTATTAACAATGGCCAAACTATGGAAGCAACTTGGGTACCCATCAATAGATGAATGGATAAAGAAGTGGTGTATGTGTACAATGGAATATGATTTAACCATAAGAAAGGAATGAAATCTTTCCATCTGCAACAACATAGATGGAATCTAGAGGTTATTATTACTAAGTGAAATAAATCAGACAAAAACAGAAGCCAGATGATTTCACTTACATGTGGAATGTAAAGAACAAAATAAATGAACATGCTGAACAGAAACAGATTCATAGATACAGAGGAAATTTTGATGGTTGCCAGATGGGAGGAGAGTTGAGAGGATTAAAGAGGTGAAGAGATTTAGAAATACAAATTAGTAGTTACAAAACAGTAATAGGGATGTAAAGTACAGCAAAGGCAATAAAATACTAGAGGTCCAGTGCACAAAATTTGTGCATGGTGTGTGTGTGTGTCCCTCAGCCCAGCCTGCACTCTCTCAAATCTGGGACCCCTCAAGGGATGTGTCCGATGCTGGTTTAGGCCTGATGGGATAAGACCTACACTGGCAATCAGACATCCCTCTTACAATCTGGGACTGCTAGCTCTTAACCATCCCCCTGCCTGCTTGATTACCCCCCCTGCTTCTGCCTGCCAGCCCAATTGCCCCCCAACTGCTCCCCTACCAGCCTGGTTGATACTTAATTGTTCCCCTGCCAGCCTTATCGCCCCTGACTGCACTCCCCTGCTGGCCCAATCACCCACAACTGCACTACCCTGCTGCAAACTGTCTCCCCCGCCAGGACCCACCTCCTTCATGCAAGGCGGCAGAGATACTGAGACCAGTTTCTTCCAAACTGGGCGGAGCCAGGGGACCCCAGGCCTCACTGTGAGGAGCAGCCGCTGGGCACACCTCGATTGTGCACGCATAGCCATCTTGTGGTGGCCAACTTTGTGGCAGCCATCTTGTGATGACATCGCACGTGAGGGTGCGAGGACCACCTAGGCTTTTATTAGTATAGATTATTGTATTAATTCTGTATGGTATCAGATGAGTACCAGATTTATTGGGGGTAATCACTTTGAAAGTTATATAAATGTCTAATCATAAGATTGTATACCTAAAAACTAATATAGTTTTATATGTTGACTGTAATTTAAAAATAAAGCATACAAACAAATTTTCAAGTCAAAAAAATTCATAGTATCTCCTACTTAGAGCACAGAGATGCCATATATAACTACATTAACACTGGATTTATATGAAGAATAAAATGCTAATATTTATTATGTTTGTCATTTTATAATTCATGATAAAACCTATTTATAATAAATCTTTTTTAGTCTAAATGTTTCCTAGTGTTCTGAGGTCACCAATACCAAACTATGAAAACTACAACCCCAAGATAAATAAGTATTTTGATGAGATGATTTCCTTGATTTAGTAAATAAAACACCAAAAACAAAATACATGTGAAAGAATACATTAGATCCCTGGCTGGATGACTCAGTTGGCTGGAGAGTCGTTCCATACAGCAAAAGGTTGTGGGTTCAATTCCTAGGCATGGCACACATCTAGGCTGTTGGTTCAAACACTAGCCGGGACACGAACAGGAGGAAATTGATTGCTGTTTCTCTTTCTAAAAATCTATAATCATACTCCCAGGTGAGCATTTAAAAAAAAAATACATCAGAAATTTTTTTTTTGTATAAATTTCCACTGTTATTTCAATAAATCAGTTTTGTATAAAAATAAATAAATCCTTGTCCTGGCCATTGTGGCTCAATTAGTTGGGCATCTTCTTGTGCACTGAAAGTTTGCCAGTTCGATTCTTGGTCAGGGCACATTCTTGGGTTATGAGCTCCATCCCTGGTAGAGGGTGTGCAGGAGACAGCCGATTGATATTTCATTCTTACCTTGATATTTGTATCTCTCCCTCTCCCTTTCTCACTCTCTAAAAATAATTTAAAAATATATATTTTTTTACAATTAAAAATAAATAAGTTTTTTTGGATGGCCTTATGCAAGGGTGTCATGCTAGGTGATATGGGGTTGGGTACAAGATGGAAACTAGATTATGCATGCCTTCAAAGAAAAGTATGAATAATGGAAGTGCTTCAATAACCTCGACATCACGCCAAATTAGCTGCATGCATAAGAGAAATAGAGCTGTGAGGATTAAAGGAAATTAGAGGAAACAGGACAAGCTTGAAGGAGGAAATGGAACTTGATGACTAGAATTCTGAGGGAGAATGGGATGATGGGGGAAGGATGGATGGAAAAAATTATCAAGAGAAAAAAATATTCTCATGAAAAAAAGAGTATGAGCATAGGCATGAGGCAGAGAAAGATGGGGTACTTAAAGGACAGTGAGTTGTAAGTAAAAGTTTTTAAGTTCATAAGATATATATGGGAAATATGGGAGCTAAGTAGTTGAAAAGGGTAGTTGGGACTGAATCACAGAAGACCTTAACTGTTGAGTTTGAATGTGACTTGGTAAGCAATGAGGAGTCACCGATCATTTTAAGACAAATAATTACAAATTTTATTTTCTTTACCGTATATAGTTGTGAACCATATAACACTGTTTTGATGAACAAAGGACACATATACAATAGAGATAAACATACATACAGTATAAGTGTGTGATAGGCTACAACCTCCAGGTTTGTGTAGTATACTCTTATGATGTTCCCACAATATGTCTAGTGACACGTCTCAGAATGTATCCCTGTTAAGTGGCACATGGCTGTATTAACCATACCCTACATATATACCGAGTGGCCAGATTATTATGACCATCCCATCAGTACTTCGTTGGGCCACCTTTTGCCTTCAAAACTGCGACTAATCTTGGCATTGACTGAACGAGATGTTGAAAGGTGATGTCAGGAATCTGACACCTGCCTGATGAATAGCACTGTCCAGTTCTGAGATTCGATGGCTGTGGAACCAGCTGCCTGGTGGCTCTTTTAACTTCATTCCACAAATGCTCAGTTGGATTGAGATCTGGTGATTGTGGGGACACCTAAGCAAGGTAAAGTCTCCCTCATGTTCTTGAAACCACTCCTGCACAATATGAGCACTGTGGCATGGCGCATTGTCTTGTTGGAAGAAGCCATCTCCATTGGGATTCGCCATCAACATGATAGGAGGAACTTGATCAGCAACAATACTCAGGAATGTTGTGCTGTTCAGACATTGTTGTTCCACACGAATTAAAGGCCCCAAATCATGCCAGGAAAACATGCCCCAAACCATAACACTGCCCCCACCAGTTTGAAGGGTTGTATTCATGTATGTGAAGTGTATGCTTTCATGTTGTTTCCATGAAATTCTCACTCTGCCATCTGTATGATGCAACTGGAAATGTGATTCATTGGACCACTTGACTTTTTTCCCAATGCTTGACTATCCAATCATTGTGTTCCTGTGTGAGTTGGAGACGTTTTATCTTGGTAACTGCAGATAGCAAAGGTGTTCGAACAGGCCTTCGGCTTCCATATCCCATACGATGCAGTGTATGGCTAATTTGCCTACAAATATCAGGTGTTCATAATAATCTGGCCACTCAGTGTATATTTAAAGCTCTCTATGCAGCATAGCTAACACAAACAAGCCTAAATTCTATATTTACACACAAGAACATAGGTTTATTGATGAGGTTGAACCAAATGGAGGGGAAAAGGTCAAGTAAACAAATGTGTGCCAGTGAAGAAAGAAGGCACAGGAACTAAATATTGTCACTTTGTTATGTTGATACAGTAGCTGAATAGTTCATTTTAACCAAATGCTGGATTCCCTAAAATAACAACTTGTTTTTGAGAGTCAGAGTAAGGTATTTGATGATGATAAACTATGGTTCAATTTTAGCTTTTAGCTATTCTTCATTTTTTATATTTCACTCCAAATCCCAGCCATCTTTAGCATTTAAAGCCATTAAAATTCTTGGACAAGAAAAGACTGGAGTTAGGGATTGAGTAGTTCAAGAGCACACTCATGACATAAGTGTCTGTCACATACTATAAATCCTTGAGCTAAAGCAACTAATCAAATCTGAATTATGGGATAAGAATTACTCTGCAATTAGGGAGAAAAAGTCCAATAGCGTTTCAAAATTTTTCAAATAACATTATATATATACTAGGGGACCAGTGAATGAATTTGTGCACCTAAAAAGGAACTGTGGCTGTGAGGCTGAAGTGGGCACAGGTCGGGTCTCAGCCCATCCTCCCACACCCCCGCCCAGTCCCTCCCACCCCAGCCCCCTGTCCCCTATCTGGTAGCAGCCCAGCTCCCACCACTGCTGCTGCTCCCATGTGCTGACAGCACCAGCCCCATTTGCACCCACTGATGGTGCAGAGCAACTGGGGCCAATGCCAGCAGCAGGTGCAAGAGGTGGCTGCCGGCCTCAATCGCCCCTCAGGAGCAGGGCAAGGTGGAGAAGCCCTGAGGGGCGATCAGGGCCAGCAGCCACTGATCATATCTGCTGACGACAATGGGAGATCCGGGCCAGTGCTGGGCGCCAGCGAATGTGAGTGCTGGCTGCAGGTGGGAATGGGGCCAGTGCCTGCAGTGGGTACAAGCGGTGGCTCTATCGCTGGCAGTGGGTGCAGGTGCACAGTGGGACCATTGCATGTGGGAGCAAATAATTTTCAGTAATCACCAGAGGCTCACTCTGATAGTAACCGGTGCCCCGCTGTGCATTGGCGCCCCTGCTCACCTGCCCCTCCATCCCGCCATGGCAAACTCCTGCCATGTTCCACACTCTGCCACCTGCTGCTAATGCCTGCCATGTTCTGCACACGCCTCCTGGCGGTCAGCACATGTCAAAGCAACCAGTTGTTCAGTTGTTCCACCATTTGGTCTATTTGCATATTAGGGATATATATGGATAATGTAGAAAAAAAACTAATTACCTCATGATCATGAGTGGCCTGTCTGGCTGCATCTAAAAAATACAAAAGAATAAGAAAACATTAAGTTAAAAAAGCAAAACAGAGCAACAATTAGAACCAAAGAAACAACTGTGCCAAACCACAAAAACTGCTGGTATATGTAGGCTAGCACAACATATGATATTTTCTCTTATGGCTTTGTTAATCAGTTAGTAAGTACTTATTGATTACAATTAGACACAAGAGAAACAGCAGACATAGTTCTTACCATTGAGGGGAATACAGTGAGAAGGTGAAAAGGAAACATATGCCAAAGGGTGTTTGCACAACATAGTTTTGCAAGCAAAATGCCAAAGTGTGAGAAGATGTAATGACTAAGAAATGACAGACTAGTTGTGGGCGAGGCATTTTTGCAGTTTTTCCTGAAGAAGGGGATCTTTAAGCAATTCTTGTAAAAGTGGGAGAAACAATTTTAATGTAGAAAAAAAGATCCATGAAGACCGGGATCTTGTTCACTGGTGCTTTTTTAAATACTAGATAAGAGCTGATATAAACAGGAGGTGTTCAATACATATTTTTTTGAATGCACACATACATGAATGCATGATTTTAAAGGATGATTATCTGAGGCTGGGAGAAATGACATATAAAAGGTTTAAAGATGTTAAGGCAAGGAAATTAAGTGGTTTAATAGACTTATTTAGAGACAAAGAAATGACTAAACTGGGAATTAGAAAAAAAGTACAGATATCTAAAAAGGGTCTTGGAGCACAAGACAGACTGTTGATACTGGTATGGAAACCAATTGGAATTTATGAATTAGAGCAATGTGATTTTATTTATTTTTATTTTTATTTTTTTAAATATATTTTATTGATTTTGTACAGAGAGGAAGGGAGAGAGATAGAGAGTCAGAAACATCGATGAGAGAGAGTCATCGATCAGCTGCCTCTTGCACACCCCCTACTGGGGATATGCCCGCAACCAGGGTACATGCCCTTGACCGGAATCGAACCCGGGATCTTTCCATTGAGCCAAACTGGTCCCGGCTACAGCAATGTGATTTTAATCAAGTTCTAAGATGATGCTTATAAGTGAATGTAACATAACAGAGAAATGATAGAGACAACCTATATAATAAAGAGGTAATATGCTAATTGCCTGTCACAGCCTCACACAGAGATGGCTGCCCCCATGTGGTCACAAGATGGCCACACTCATATCGTCACAAAATGGCCACTCCAATGTGGTCACAATTTGGCAGGGGGAGAGTAGTTGTGGGTGATCAGGCCAGCAGGGGCAACTAGGCTGGCAGGGGAGGGAGGTTAGGGGCAATCAGGCCTGCAGGGGAGGGCAGTTGTGGGTAATCAGGCTGGCAAGGGAGGGCAATTAGGGGCAATTGGGCCGGTAGGGGAGGGCAGTCGGGGGTGTTTGAGCTGGTAGGAGAGGGCAGTCGGGGGTGTTTGGGCTGGTAGGGGAGGGCAGTCGGGGGCGATCGGGCCAGCAGGAGAGTAATTAGGCATTGATCAGGCTGGAAGGTGAATGGTTAGGGGGTTATCAGGCTGCCAGGCAGGCAATGGTTGGGAGCTAGTAGTCCAGGATTGTGAGAGGGATGTCCGACTGCCAGTTTAGGCCAGATCCCTGAGGGGTTCCAGATTGGAGAGGGTGCTGGCTGGGCTGAGGGACACCCCCTCCAATGCACGAATTTTGTATTTATCACTGTAACAGTAAGCTTTGTGATACTCATCACACATAGAAAACTACAAATATATTTGGTTCTGGTACTGATACCTTGTCTTTGAGATTTGCCTTTCTGACGGTCTTGGGTTTTCCTACTGAAGACCTTGTAGGCCTCAGTCTTCTGATACTGCTCCAGTTCCTTCATGTAACGCTCCTTATCTCTATCTGCTTCATCAAGGTAACGCTAGGAAAGAAATATGGAATTATTTTAAAGAAACAGATCTTATTTAGATAAAATATCAATGAGTTACTTGAAGACCAGCTGACAATTAGAACATGGTAAGAAAAGTGAAGCAGAATTTAAAAAAATGTCACATAAAAAGTATAATCTCTAAATTATAAAATAAATAGGTGATTCTGAATTTCTATAGACTATTTCATTTCCTTACTTAATGAAGACAAATTCTAGTGAGGTCATTCTTATAACAAATTCTCAAGAAGATGATTATAGTTATTTTTCTAACCCTATATATATAACTCTACATGGCCTCTAGAGTTCCCAAGATGACAGCATACCACATAGACACATTTAATCCTCTCAAGAGAAAGTAGAAATATTACTTTATTTCTTTAATTCCCCAACCCACTGTGAGAGAATGATCTCATACATCAATTGGACTTTTAAAAGCCAGAAGAGTGGGACACTAAAGCCAGAAGACACAAACAACATTAAAAAGAATGACTTCATTCTATGGGCCTAATATAGACTACTGTGAGAGAGCTTATATCTGCATACTTTGTGCTATTCATTGTTTAAACAAAGTCTAGTGATCTACTAGCATAATTTTATTTAATGCCTTATTCTTTTCATTCATCAAGTTTAAGAAATAAAGTATGAAAATACTGCTTCTAAATGAACATAAACTGATATCAGAAATTATGTTAAAAACCTTGTTACCTATAAAAGCCAAATGTAGGGAACAAAAATGGCCAAATCTGGGACAATTTAATAACAAAATACTTAAGTACAGTAATAAATTACAAACCAATCAGAAAAAAATTATATGGCTATAATAAATAAATATCAACCACATAAATATATAAATAAGGAAAGGAGGAGGGCTCTTGCTTAGATTTGAATGGTTAACTGGTAAGTGGGGAGTGAGTGCTAGGGTTAAAGTGATCATTTTGCAACCACCATGCTAAAGATTAGGTCAGGCAAAATAATCAATGAATGCGAAATCTGTGGGGAAATTTTGATACCAATATTTGCATGTTCTCCATACACTACTTCCTATCTAATAAAGAAGGAATATGCTAATTGTTCCTCTCACCATCACAAAGATGGTGGTGCCCACAGCCAATTAGGAGGGACTATGCGAATTGACTGCCATACCCTCAAAGATGGTAGCATCCACAGCCACAACAAGGAGGCACTCAATCTCTGGAGTCCCCTAGTCCTCTCAGCCCCGCACTGCCCAGGGCTGGCCCAAGGTACAGGCAAGCCTTGGATGGTGGCTGCCCAGACACCCCGGGCCCACCGAGGCTTGCAATGCAAGCAGTGGCAGCAGCAGAGGTGTGATGGGGTGTTGCCTTCCTCTGATTACCGGGTTGCCTCCCACCCCTAAGGGCTCCTGGACTGTGAGAGGGGGCAGACTCTAGTATTAATTATAAGGGAGAATTTAAAAAATATATTGTAAATTAACATTATCAATTAAGAATAAAAGAACACTGTGGTACCCTAAGAAGGACACAACACCACTATAATATTCTGACCAAGAATGCATAACCTCAAACTAATCATGAGGAAACACCAAATAAAAAATGAGAAATATTCTGCTTAAATTAAACAAAAAAAGAGAAAGAGGAGAGATTGTATTTTTTAAAGATATTAATGTCATCAAATACAAAGAAAGTTGTAGAAATATTCCAGATTAAAGGAATCTAGAGATTTGACAAATACAAAACCTGATCTTACTCTGGAATCTGAACTGAAGGGGCGGAATTTTTTTTTAAATTCTCACCCAAAGATATGTTTATTGATTTCAATGAGAGAGGATGGGACAGAGAGAAGCATTGATATGAAAAAGAAACATCAATTGATTGCCTCTTATATGGCCCCAACCAAGGGAGCAAACCCAAAGCCTAGGTATGTGTCCTGACTATCAATCCAAACTTGCAACCTTTTAGCATAAGGGACAATGCTCCAACCAACTGAGCCACCTAATTGCAGTATGGAGGGGGAAGTTTTTATAAAGGAATGATGTAATATCAACTGATTAAATTGGAATATGGATGGCAGGTTAAATAAAACTTTTGTGTTAATAATAAAGTTGATAATTATAAAAGAATATGTCTATCTTTAGGAAATATACATGAAATATCTAGGGTCATGATGTATGTAACTTCTCCTTAAATGATTCTGAAAACAACAGTGTGCATGTGTGTACTGTGTGAGAGTATGAGGGAGCTTGTGCTGGAGAAAGTATGACCACATATGCAGAGATATGGGACAAAATGTATTAACAATAGATCAATCTAGGTAAAGCATATTTGGGTGTTCTTTATACTATGCTACGTTTGTAAGTATTTTTAGATTTGAAACTATTTTAAAAAAGAAAGTAAAAAACAAAAACAAAACAAGTACACAAACCCTTGTCCTACCTATATAATAGTGGTTAGTGGTTAGTTGTGGACATAATTACTGTTACTTTGCTTTTTTCTTTATACATTCTGTATTGTCTGAAAACATTTTAAACCATGAGCATGCATTAATTTTGAAATTAAAAAATTAAAAGAGTAACCTAGATGTACAACTCTCTATCCCTTTATAAATTAGAGCTCAAACAATGGATGATATATATGCACTGCTTTCTATTAGCTTGCTACCACAAACATAGAGCTTTAAGTTGCAACTTAATCTGATCTCTTTGAAAATGTTTTAATTAGGTCAATTACCAACAGTATTTTTCATTTTGGTAGAAAGGAATATAAGACATAAAAGAAATACAAGTATTTTTCAGATGCTGAGAATGCCAGGAATTTCTTGTTTTAAAATAATTTATTGATTTTTTTTTTTATACAGAAGAAGGGAGAGGGATAGAGAGTTAGCAACATTGATGAGAGAGAAATATCAATCAGCTGCCTCCTGAACACCCCTTACTGGGGATTTGCCGGAAACCAACATACATGTCCTTGACCGGAATCGAACTGGACCCTTCAGTCCGCAGGCTGATTATACACTAAGCCAAACCAAGTAGGGCAATGCCAGGAACTTCTTAACCCAAAGTCACTCCCACTACCATCACTCTGCATTTGGCACATTTCAGCTAGTGCACGGCTATTTTGTCCTCCATTCCTCTCAAATGTTTCTAACAAGTGGATTTGTTTCAGTTTGATAATAAGGTTAATTTCTGTTTTTGAAGAGAAAGAATTCAAGAAATGCTTTATTTTTCATAATTGGTTAAATATGGCTATTTTTAAACTCTAGTTTTAAAATTTTATCAGAGCAGTAAGACCTTTTAAAATAAAAATCTTATGAGAACAAAATTAAATGATCTTTTCTCATTTAACTCATGACTTTTCATTGAATTTAGTGGAGTAAATTATGTTGATAAACTTCTTAATATTGAATCTTATGTGAACTCTCAGCATATCAATCAAACAACAGTGCAGCTGCTTTGGTTGAGAGCCCCTCCTTCTCACACCTTGCAGCAGACTCTGAAAGAAAATAAAAACTATTGTGTTATAGAAGAGAGCTATGAAGGACCCTACTAGGCACAGGACAAAATTGAAAAATCAGCTGTCCATCTTCTTTGCTTTTCTGATAGAGATTATTTTTGAGATATAATCAAAATTAAGCTAAAGATCAGGAATAGAAAAAAATTACCTGTTTTTCCTCAGGAGGCAGTTTACTCCATTCATTGCCTAACATTCTTGTGATTTCTGGAAATGGGACTTCTGGTCTCTTTGCTCGAAGCTGTTCTCGCCGTTCATTCATGAACCGAACATATCCTGTAAGGGGGGATTTGGGTGCATTGCTGTCTCGAAGAGGTTTCTTCCTCTTTCTTCCTTTGGACCATCCTCCTCGTTTACTTCTTTGCTACAACGTAAGATAAAATAAAATCCAAAACCAAATTACAAAAACAACAAAATGTCTCCAAATAACACAACAACCAAAGAGTTGCATTTTCTGGCCATTAAGACCTTAATATTCAAAGCTCTTTGTATCTGTCATCAGTACAGATAACTTCAATGTAGTTTTCAAGAAGGGACTCCAGGTGGATCACTTGTAGACCCATTTATGTACCACACTACTAACTGTTGCACTAAAGGGCATATTGTAGTGCTAATCTTAAGAGATGAGAATAAGGGGTGTCATGATCACTCAAGGTTTGGCTTTTATGTGCACTTAACAAGTTCTGACTCCCAACAGGGGAATAGTCTAAATGATAAATGCAGCATATAAACAGCACTGTGCCAGAGAAGCAGACATTGTCACAGTAGATCAGAACGAGATGTAATATGCAGTAGGCAAACAAAGAGACAAGCTTTAGCAGAGAAATAAAATATTATTCATGAAGCCCTGTTCAGTGTGGATCAGTTGAGCATTATCCTGTGCACCAAAAGGTCCCTATGGTTTGATTGATTCCCGGTCAGGGTTCATACCCAGGGTTTGAGTTTGGCCTGTGTGAGAGGCCAAATGTTTCTCTCTCCCTCTCCCTTCCTCTTTCTCTAAAAAAAAGATCAATAAGAACATAATTCATGAAGGGTGCTTGTCATTGATACCACTGAAAGATCAACTTATTTCCCATAGAAGATAGCATATAAACATAATAGAACAAAAACATCTCAATATTAATTATATTACTATATTCCTTCAAATACTTATAAGATCGTACAATAACTCTATATCAGGCAAATGGTATAATTGGTATCAGTTTTATTTTTTTAATCTAGTAACATTAAAGATACTAAGTAGTTTAAGATGTTTGCGAAGTTTTAAGCATTCATCAAAACCTTTAAGTATGCCAACACAAAAAAGTCAGCTCTTTTAAAAATGAGAAAAACAATAAAGATTAATGGTGGTACTCTTTTATGGATAAAAAGAGTACCTTAAAACATAGACTATGTAATCAATCATTTGCAAGTAACATTGAGAGTTCAATAAGGACATGGCTATGTAGGCCCATGTGCCACCTCTGTGAGAATAAAAGATGTTCCCTAAGAAAGGCAGAATGATTGGTAAGTGGTATGAATCGTTTAGACACATGACTCCATACTGCAGGGCTTGGGGAGCAGTGTGTGGTCTTGGACATGGCATGTGGGCTTCTCGTTCATTACTTGTTTAATTAAATAACACAACCAATCATTTAAGAAGCATTTGTTGAAAATTTAATATGATGTAGGTATAAATTTCTCAGGGGAAAAAGAATCTAACTGTTTTTATGTCATTAAAACCATTAATATGATTCTATGTAAAACAAGAAATATAAAACAGAAAATTCTGCATAATGTAAGAAAGCCAGATGATGAATACCTACTGCCTGCTTCTTTAGAAGCTTCAGAGACCAGTAGCAGGACATCAGCTTACCTCATCTTCATGCCTCTGTTCAGTGCCTTCTGTTGTGTTTGAAGGCTCGTTCTGAAGCAATTGATCTTGGGAGAGACCCTCCACAAATTCTGGATTGTTGGTAGATGATGTAACTCCAGTACTATATGGAATATCTGGGTGACTTAGCCTGAAAAATAACAGAAAGAAGTATAACAGTTCAGTATAAACAGCATCGAACACTCGTATTTATCAAGGTTCAAGACAAATATCCCTGCCAGCAAAAGCATAGGTCAGTCCTTGAATTAATTCCCCCCACCTCATTCTATATAAATGTAAATAGTATTTATAGCAGTTATAGAGTATTTAAAAAATGGTTTCAGTGCTTGATGGAACCACGCCAGTTCCATGAAGATGTCTACTAAAAACAGCTATAATTTTTCCCCAAAATATTACCTCTCCCCTCAACATATATGCCTTATAATTTAGTTCTGAACATGCAACAGAGCCTGACTTTTATATGCTATCTTTCATGTATATCCAATAAAAAGGGAAAATACTATTAATGGAAAAGGATAATAGGAATGGGAAATATAGAAGAAGTTTGTCCACAGAATAAGAGAGTTCTCGAAGGGCATAAAATATATTCTATGGTATATTCCATAGGCTATTTCTTCTTAAAGTATTTATTGACAACCAGACAATTTAAAAATAATATCAAGTTCAGTAAGCTCAGGTATAAATGATAATGAATCAGGCAGATATAATTCTTTTCTGTTCCCACTATTTGTTCCAGATGAATCAGCAAACCAGATCTTATAAGAAGATACAAATGATGGCTGGGTCTTAAGACTATATTTTTATTTTTAATCAGTATTACTATTACTACTATTTTACCTTTTTTTAAAATGTCAATTTATTTTCTTTTTATTTATTTTATTTTATTTTGGGATTAGTGTTCTACATTTGATTTTCATTTTTCCTTTAGCATCATTTTACTCTATCTCAACATTACCTTTCAGCCAACACTCTCTTCCTCATTTTCCCCCTTTTGTTGTCATGTTTCTCTTAACCTATTTCTGCTTTAGATTTTCCATATTCATTCTTTTTACCCCATTAAAAATTCATCCTACTTATATATTTAATTTCTGATCCCCTGCTCATACACTCTTCTCTATTCAATTTTTTTCACTCTTCCATTTTTTTTCTTGTTTTTTTTTGTTTTGTTTCATTTTGTCCTTCTTTCTCTGTCCTATTGTTGTTAGTTTATTGATTAGATTGTTTTGTTTGTGTGATTGTTTCTCCTTTTTTGTTTTGCTTCTGTTTTTCCTATCCTCATTTGTTATTAGTTGTTTCTAGTTTGCATTCATATCTGTGTGTTAGTTGTTTGCATATTTTTGGATTAGTTGTTGTTCTATTGGAGTTTTCTCCCCATATAAAGAGTCCCCCCCCTCTTTTTTATTCTCTTTCTTTTCGCTCTTACTGTTTTTCCTTTTCTTAATATCATTTTTGCACTTTTTTCCAAAATCCCAAATTCACTTTTCTCTGATGGTCACATTTATCTGGGGTTATTAGTATTGTGAATACTAATTTGTGTTCAATGTCTTGTTTGTGGTCACATTTATTTGGAGTTATTAGTATTGTGAATACTAATTTGTGTTCAATGTCTTGTGCGTTGTGCCTTGTTCTGTTGTATTTTGTGCCTTTAAGTCAATGCAGGAGTGAGAGAGATTATATAACCAGACACCCGAAGAAGAGAGATCATGGGGAGACAAAGAAAGAGCCTGCATACAAAAGAAAAGGAGGCATTAGCAGAAAGGAAGTAAATAAAATAGAGGCAAGCACTATGACAGAGAAAGTATTCGGAGAAATGGTCATAGCTCATTAAAAGTTTGGAAGACAAATTCAACAATAAGTGTAAGAACCAAGAGGAAATGAAGAAGAACCAAGAAGAAATGAAAAATGACATCACTGCAATAAAGAATTCACTAGAAAGCATTAAGAGTAGACTAGAAGAAGCTGAGGACCATTTCAGTGAGCTAGAAGACAAGATAGGAAAAAATACCCGAGCAGAGCAGCATCTAAAAAAAAAAAAAAAAAAAAAAAAAGCTTAAAAAAACAAGAGGAGACCTAAGGGAACTTTAAGAAAACACAAAACTAAACAACATCCACATAATAGGAAGTCAGAAGAAGAGGAAACTGAGAAAGGAATAAAAAACCTGTTTTAAAAAAATGAGAAAAAACTTCCCTGGTTTAAGGAAGAAAAAACTCACAAAAGTCCAAGAAGCTCACAGTCTCAAACAAACTGAACCCCCCAAAAAATCCGACACCAAGGCACATTATATATATTTTTTACTTAATAAATACTTATTATTAGGATTACTAAAATTGTTCCTTTTTTATCCCCCATAGCTCCCCTCCACCAGGTTCACACCCTACCCTTTGCCCTTACCCACCTTCCCCCCACCCCTGCAGTCCTCATCCATAGGTGTACGATTTTTGTCCAGTCTCTTCCTGTACCCCCAACACCACTTTTCCCCTGAGGTCTGTCAGTCCACTCCCTTTCTATGCCCCTGATTCTATTATAGTCACCAGTTTATTCTGTTCATCAGATTTTTTATTCACTTGATTTTTAAATTCACTTGTTGATAGATATGTATTTGTTGTTCATAATTTTTATCTTTACCGTTTTCTTCTTCTTCATCTTTTTAAAAAATATATATTTTATTGATTTTTTTACAGAGAGAAAGGGAGAGAGATAGAGAGCTAGAAACGTCGATGAGAGAGAAACATCGACCAGCTGCCTCTTGCACACCCCTCAACGGGGACGCGCATGCAATCAACGCACATGCCCCCAACCTGAATCGAATCTGGGACCTTTCAGTCCGCAGACCAACGCTCTACCACTGAGCCAAACCGGCTTCGGCTTCTTTCTCTTCTTAAAGAATACCTTTCAGCATATTATATAATACTGGTTTGGCAGTGATGAACTGTATTTTAGCTTTTTCTTATCTGTGAAGCTCTTTATCTGATCTTCAATTCTGAATGATAGCTTTGCTACATAGAGTAATCTTGGTTGTAGTTGCTTGCTATTCATCACTTTGAATATTTCTTCCATTTCCATCTGGCTTATATAGTTTCTGTTGACAAATCAGCTGACAGTCATATGGGTGGCTCCCTCACAGGTAATTAACTTTTTTTCTTTTACTACTTTTAATATTCTCTCTTTGTCTTTTGCTCTTGACATTTTAATTATGATGTGTCTTTGTGTGGTTCTCTTTGGATTCCTTTTGTTTGGTGTACTCTGCACTTCTTGGAGTTGTAAATCTATTTCTTTCACCAGGTGGGGGAAGCTTTTGGTCATTATTTCTCCAAATAGATTTTTAGTATCCTGCTCTCTCTCTTCTTCTGGCACCCCCATAATTCTGATGTTGGTACTCTTGAAGTTGTCCCAGAGGCTCTTTCCTCTATCTTCATATTTTTGGATTCTTTTTTCTTTTCCAGCTGAGTGTTTTTGCTTCTTTGACTTGACTCTTGCAATCCTCTAGTCTGCTGTTAGATCTCTGTATAATATTTTTAAATATATTTTATTGATTTTTTACAGAGAGGAAGGGAGAGAGGTAGTTAGAAACATTGATCAGCTGCCTCTTGCACATCCCCCATTGGGGATGTGCCCACAACCAAGGCACATGCTCCTGACCTGAATCGAACCAGGGACCTTTCAGTCCACAGGCTGATGCTCTATCCACTGAGCCACACTGGTTTCGGTAACATTTTTTATTTCAGTGTATGATTAATTTCTACTTGGTCCTTTTTCATATCCTCGAGGGCCTTGCTAAATTTATCACCTTTTCTAGAAAATTCTTGAAAAACCTTATAACTGTGGTTTTGAACTCTATATCCAGTTGTTTCCTTTCCCCCACTTCTTTCAATTGTGATGGTTTGTCTCCACATTTTGGCTACTTCCCTGAGTTGATAGAGTGGCTTTGTGTGCTAGGTGTCCGATACAGCCTCCCCAGTTACCAGAGGTGGACACTCTTGGTGCACACCTTTGTGGGCTGTGTGCACAGTCTTGTGGTAGTTAAGCTTTGATTGTTGTTGGTATCACAGGGAGAAATTAACTTCTAGGCCACTTGGCTGTGAGGATCAGCTATGTCTATGTCAGGAGAACAATGCTGGAGACACCCTTATGAGACAAGATTTGCAAAACATTTGTGCTCACTAAGGATGGGGCAGAGTCTCAGGGAGAACAGTATTGTTTTCCTGTCAGCCCTGCCCTAATAGACCTCTGTGTCTCAGTGTCCCGTGGTAATCACTGCAAACACCTCTGAGAGAAAGCCTACCTCGAGTTCTGCCTGCTGCCAGATAGGCCAGTTTCTCCCCAAATGAGTATGGGTCCCCAGTGTCTTGCCTGGAACTGGAGTTCAGTGCAGTTGTGAGCTTTTGTCTCCCTCCCGCTTGAGAAAGCCAGCTGCACACTCAGTTGCCAGTCCTCTCCGCGCGCACGTCTTAGTACCTCTGCTTCCTACAGCGCCTCTCAGTCTCAGTGTGTTTTTCTCTTTCCTTCTAGTTGTATAATTTCCACTCAGCCAGTCTTCCTGTGATTCTGGATGATGTCTGTCTTGTCTTTTAGTTGTAGTTTTGAAATTGTTGTGCGAGGCAGCAGTTTAGGTGTTTACCTATGCTGCCATCTTGGTTCCTCAAGGCACATTATAATTAAACTAGAGGCCCAGTGCAAAAATCCATGCCCTAGAGTGGGGTCCCTTAGCCTGGCCTGCACTCTCTAGCAGACTGGAAGCCCTGGGAAGATATCTGACAGACAGCTTAGTGAACCTAGGCCATCTGTCGGACATTCTTAGCATTGCCACGAATTTGTGAGAGGCTCCCACCATTACCACTGTGCATGCCAGAGGTAAGCCCGTCTCCTGGTTGACTAGCACTCCCCCTGTGGGAGCACACTGACCACCAGAGGGCAGCTCCTGTGTTGTCTGTACCCTGGTAGTCTGAGTGCATCATGATGACCAGTCATTCCACCATTTAGTCATTTCTATATTAGCCTTTTATTATACAGGATATGCTGTAGATGAGGCCCCCTAGAACCATAAGAAATGCAAATTTCTTAAATTCACTGTTAACTCATTCTTGATTTTGCCCCCCACTTAAATCAAAAATTGCCGCCCCTTTCAGGCA